ACACGCTACCCAACATTAGAGAAGTTCGCCTTGGCCGTCATCGTCGCCGCCCGGAAGTTGCGTCCGTATTTCCAATCGCACGCAATCATCATCTATACCGATCAACCACTTCGGACAGTGCTACACAGCCCTGTGCAGTCAGGAAGAATGGCTAAATGGGCTATCGAACTAAGCGAATACGATATTGAGTACCGCTCCCGTCCCAGTCTGAAAGCACATGTTTTAGCGGACTTTATGGACGAGCTCGCCCCAGAACTCGTGGAGGACGCACCAAAAGTCGAAAGCTGGACCCTCTATGTCGACGGATCTTCTTGCAACCAAGGATCCGGAGTAGGAATCCTCTTGCGTTCACCGACAGGCGAGGTCCTGGAACAATCGTTGAAACTCGGTTTCAAAGCATCCAATAACGAGGCCGAGTACGAAGCTTTGCTCGCAGGAATACGACTTGCTAGGGGCATCGGAATAAAACATATCCAGGCATTTTGCGATTCACAACTGGTCGTAAGCCAATTCAGCGGAGAATTCGACACCAAGAACGAGCGGATGAGCTCTTATCTGGCGTTAGTCCGATCCGCCTCAGCCGAATTCGATAGCTTCTCTCTTACAAAAATTCCACGCAGCGACAATGCTTCGGCCGACGCCCTCGCCGCCTTAGCTTCAAACGCAAATCCAGACCTCCGCCGATCCATCCCCATCGAAAGTATCGATCTGCCAAGCATCGCTCAACCCCATGAGATCAACCTCATCATGAACGACTTGGTCCAAATGGAGATCGATCCGGCTGAGAACGATCCCCATGAGTAAGAAGCCCCCCCGATTGGCGAGAAGAGATCAAACTCTACATACAAAGCGGTCAGGTTCCCGAAGACCGTTGGCAGGCTCGACGACTAAAAGCCCGATGTGCCAATTACATTCTGACCAACGGAGAACTTCTCCGGAGAAGTGCTAACGGAACCTTCCTTACCTGCGTCGATCGAGACGAAAGCGAAAGGATTATGGGCGAGGTCCACGAAGGAGACGGTGGGAACCATTCGGGTGGACGCGCGTTGGCCCTAAAAATAAAGAAAGACGGCCATTTTTGGCCAACTATGCTCGCCGACTGCGAGGCATTCGCCCAAAAGTGCGAAGCTTGTCAAAGGCATGCCACTTTGAAACACGTACCTCCCGAAGCGCTTTCTCCCGTGACAGCACCCTACCCCTTCATGCGATGGGCCATGGACATCGTCGGACCCTTCCCTCTTTGCCGCATTAAAAGATTTTTGCTGGTGCTCACCGATTTTTTCACCAAATGGGTAGAAGCGGAATCGTTCAGTCAGGTCAAGTCGGGCGACGTAACCGGATTCATCTGGAAGTACATTATCTGCCGACACGGTATTCCCTATGAGATCGTCACGGATAACGGATCCCAATTCACTTCCTACCTAACCAAGCGGTTCTTCAGAAAATGGCACATCAAACTCAGTACCTCAACCCCGCGATACCCTCAAGGAAACGGCCAGGCTGAGGCTACCAACAAAACTATCCTCGATGGCATCAAGAAAAGGTTAGGTCGGAAAAAGGGACTTTGGGCCGACGAACTCGACGGAGTATTATGGTCGCATCGCACAACTCCTCGACGCGCAACCGGGTTCTCGCCGTTCGCCTTAGCTTACGGTGTTGAAGCAATGGCGCCATCGGAGGTCGGAATACCGACGCTCCGGCGAACAATGATGATCGCGGAGCCGGAGTTAAACGACACTCGGCTCCACGATTACCTCGATTGGAGCGAGGAACTACGAGATCAAGCAATGATCCGTATACAAAACTACCAGAACTCGGCAGCAAAGTATTACAACAAGACCGTCCGGGAACGCCGTTTTAATGAGGGCGACCTGGTTCTGCGAGAAGTTTTCGAAAACACCAAAGAGCTCAACGCCGGAAAGCTCGGAGCAAAATGGGAGGGCCCCTATATCGTCGCACGGCGAGTTCACCCAGGCGTCTATGAACTATCGACTATGGAAGGACAGCGAGTGCAACACTTCTGTAACGCGGCCCACCTCAAAAGGTTCTACTATTAGGTCGGGAATCCGACCACAAAGGCAGACGGATGCCTCACTCGGGAATCCGAGTCTTTCATTTGATGTACTGTGAACTACGATTGGCTTGATCCTCGAAAGAGGTACGTAGGCAACCATGATACATGGTGCAGCTAACAAAAAAAAATAAAAATAAAGTAATGAACGCGCGATTGTCGTTGACGATCCCGTTTTATTTGATAAAGTTTGTTACAAGCAAAATACACTCTTGGGCAAATACACTCTCGAGCCAAAACAATAAAAAAAAAAAACAAAGGGAGAAGAAGAAGCTCATAATGGCCACCAGCCAAAGCGACCGACTTAGCCCCCCGAACCGACGAATTCGGGAAACAGGTCGGTGTCGCCGTCGTCCAACTGCGGAAGAGGATACTCCTTCTCCTCTTCCGCCCAGAAGGAACTTGCCTGCCTCGCCAGTTTGAGGATCTTTCTTCTGATCGGCACCCCCTCGGAAACCATCAGCAGAAGGAAACTCTCTACACCTTCCGCACGAACCCTTTGATAAGTGACTTCGGCCGCACTATTGAACGCGACAATATAGTCGCACAACCGAGCAATACGAGCGCGATATCCCTCCAGTTCTTCGCTACGCGTCCGGCTCGTAACGAGAGGCCCATCAAACGAATCAAGGTCCCCTTCTCGAAGCCGCGAGACTTTGATACGTTCAAAAGAGGATTGTAGGTAGTAGAACTGACCCGATGACAGCGCACGTTCTCGAAGGGTATCGTTGAGGCCACGCTCCAAAACGGATTTCTCTATGAACTCCTCAACCCCGAGATATCGTTCGAGGTCGGCCTTAGGATTTTGACGCTCCCAAAGTGACCGGATGTGCATGGTTAGCCTACAAATCCGGGCCTTGTAAACCTCCGCCTTGATCTCATCTTCATTAAGTTGTTCTACCGGACGGCGACCTCCGCGGAGAAAGGGATCGTTAGCAGTCCCTCTAGAAGATCCGGCCATTGAGGGAATCGCTGAGTGATAATAAAATGGATACCAAAAGCGGGATATTTATAGACAGAAACCGCATTGAATGCCAGCTATTTCCCAACCACCCTCATCCGAATGACCATACACTGAAGAGGCACGAATCACCATGTCAATTGGGACCAAGCGTTCACGAATCTCGAGATGGCTCAGAGTGACGACCCGTCAAATCACTCTTTCGCAGTTTTCCAAAAAAAAAAATAAAAAAATATATATATAAATATATGAATACCATATTATTCATATATGCATCCCCGACACCCTGGCCAGGTGATCGGCGCGCGTCGAAAGCACAATCCTTAAGTTTAGGAGTAAGTCGAACCCAGAGATTAATGTTTCGCACCTAAAGGTCCCGTGTTCGGATGGGACAGTCAGCCGACCCAGAGAAGTCAATCTTTCGCAGCCCATATCCGAACCGGCACCAAAGGAGGTAAGCCGAGTCCAAAGATATATCTCGCCCTCCGGCAAAGTACACTCTACTCGAGGAAAGAAATTCCTCACTTCGGAGCCCAGAGATATCTCCAAATGTATTTAACTATGGCCAATCGTGAACTCGTAAGCCGGGAGACGTCCCGCCGAGTCATGAAATCCCCATTTAAATTAAAACGCCGGGAAACACGGCTAGTATTATTTGAAATCGGATGCAACGGTTCAATAGTGTTACGACAGAATAAGATTACATCGGCATAAAATCAAAAAAAAAAAAAAATCGCCTAGTCCACGATCAACGGACCCTTCGCCCCAGTTGCGGCGACCTGACGCGTGTCATGCAGAAGGCGACTCGGCATTGGCCAAAGCAGCTGCATGCCAGTTCGCTCCCAATCGGCTGGATCCGTCTCCAACGCCCGAGCCTTCTGCTCCGCCTCGTCAAGCCTGAGAATCGCTTTCCTTCTCTTCGATTTTAGCCTGGCGACTTCTTCTTCCAGCTCGTCCAAACGGAGGTCGATCCTTCTTTTCTTCAGGCGAAAGAATTGCAAATCCCTGCACTGTTCTTGATAGAGGCCTCCGACCTACAAAAACAAAAGACAGTTGTTTAAATCCCCCGCAAATAGGACGCCAACATCCGCATAAACGGAACGGTACCGATACCTTCTTAACAAACGCTTCGGCCTCGTCTGATTCGGCTTTACTGGCCAACGTCCCTATGAGAAATGCCTTCACACCCGACGGTGTAAATTCAAGGCATCGCGGGATCCCCAGGATGGGCGGTGCATTCCGGTTAGCTTCAACATCCCGCATACATTGCTCGCAGTAGGCATAAAGGCTTGTCGGCATCGGAGCTATGCGCCCGAACCCAAAGGGAATCCAGTTTCTCGGGTGAGATTCCAGCAGTTTCAACTTATGATCGAAGGCCGATCTAATCTCATCAACAATGAGGAATTGTTTAAATTACTGCGTATGTTTATCATACACAGCCTGGAAGAACTCCTCTAACCGGAGTTTCTCTTGTCGAGTAACTCGCGACATCAAAGTCCTAGGAACCCTTAACGTCGGGAACAAGGGCATCCCACGATCAAGAGCTTCTTTCTCAGTGAAAGTCGGCATATCAACACCGGCGGACGGAGATGATACATCGCTTTTAGTCGAACCAGATTTCTCCATGACACCAGTTGCAGGAAAAAGAGGACGCAAGTTTAATCTAAGGATGTCTTGAAAAACCATTGGCCGGGCAGCCTATTTATACCTATCACCCCCGCCTTTTACTGGAGCAAAACTGGCAGTCGGGGAAGACTATATAGGAAAATCACCAATTTCAAGCCAAAAAAGAAGCATATTTCCACTTTCACGAATAAGGGAAATACAAAAAAAAAAGTACTACTTCCGGTTTTTGAAGAAGTAGAAGCAAGTTGCCGAAGAAGTAAAATTGAAAAGAGAAAATGTATTACAAAAGGGCCGGCGGCCCATCCAAATCCAAGAGTCAAACAAATATATAAAAAAAAAGCATTAGACGACTTCAACGTCATCTTCAGGATTGCCCGGGTCTGAAGGGGGGTCATCATTGGTGTCAGGAGCTTGAAGGTCGGCCTGAAAGGCTGCAGCATTCGATCCTTGTGGCTCACGGATAGATCTGGGAGCGGGATCCTCAGGCCGAAGAAGACCGTAGCCGAGCTGGTCCGGAGACATGTTCAGGTCGGCAGAGTCGAGGACGAGATAGTCAAGCGCATCTGCAACCTCCTTGCACTCGACTTTCTTCGCCTTGATCTTGGCAATTTCCTCCTCGGTGATCTGAGCATGGCACTCTTTGACAAGCCTGTCAATCGTAGCCTCGACCCCAAGAGCCTGGTTCAACAGGTCTTCCTTCGGACGAACAGTGACCTCTTGCTCGGCCAGGAACGCCTTCACCCGATCTAGGCGATCTTGGGCCTTCTTCCTCGTGCGCTCAACCACAGCCTGCCGATCTAGGCGAAGTCGCCAGCATTCGGATTCGCAGAATTGCTGAAGGAGCTGAAGGTCGCCATCGGCTTTCGCCTTCTCCGCAGCAAGGGTCGCATTCTCGGCCCGAAGGCCAGCAATTGTATCCTCTAAGGAAGCGACGACTCCCTCTTGAACCTTGGCCTGTTCCTCCAAGCCTCCCACTTGCTTCCGCAGCATGGCCACTTTGTCCTGGGCCTCTTTGGCGCATTTCTCCATCATCAAGAAGGCGTGATTCGCCGTAGAGCGCGACTTCACCCTCTTTTCGTATTTGAAGAAGAGAGCATTGCCATAGGCGATCGACTGGAAAAAAGTCAAAAACGGTGTTAGAATACGCACAAAATATAAAAGACAGATATAAAGGAGCGATAAACAAACCTGCAACGCGGATCGAGTATAATTTAGATAATTCTCCTTGAACTCCAGCTCGTCGAGGTCGGGCAGAATC